TTCCTCGATCCAAACTTGGTCCACCTGAGCGAGATATAACTCTGCGCAATCTTCACCCAACTTTGCCAGGTCTGCCGCAGCCTTGCATTCTGTGACGTGCTCTTTCCAGCGATGCTGAAAGCGTCGCATCATAAAATACAACTCGGACGATATACGCCCGTTTTCCCCTTTCCGCGTTGCTCCTGAAGCTCTAGGAGAATCTCCATAGCACGTTGGGCATTTATGCTCTTGGCGCAAGCAGCAGCGGATACTCTCGCGTATTGATTGGAGGTGTATTCTGACCTTAGCGCCATCTAAACTGTACTCTGGAAAATGTGTTTTGTGGTCCCGAAGATTTCGTAGCCATTTTTCAGGTTTGCTCCCAATTCTCTCCACAAACGACTGCCAGGATTTGGCTAGTAAATCGGGACTGGATCGTTGAGGGATCATATTGATCCTTTTTGTGGGCACGATAGTATTGCATCTGGAAAAATATGCCAATCAGACATTGGTTCCTACTCACACCAGGAGGAACTGGAACATTGTTCAATTCTGTGCAATCAAACAGCAGTGTTGAATTCCCAGATCTGCGGTGTTCTACCATCGACGGGTGAAAATCGTCCAGCCAGGCGAAATGCATCTTTTCACTACACGAAATATCAAGCTCAGGATCCGTGACACCAACATCCCGCCGTTTGGATCCGCCCAAAATAAGAGTGCTTGGCAGAGCTCCATCTTCTTTTGAATCGTCGCTCCCTTTGACTAAGAACGAAATGCTAGATTGATTCCTTTGGGTGAGGAATGTTTGTGGCGGTGAGGTATAAGCCTGGGCCGGGTTGGGCTGCTTCCGGTTCTCTTGCTGGTTTCCGTCTTTTACGCATTGATTACCATGTTGTTTTGGCTTCCCGTGTACACTGGATATGATTGCGGTGCTGCCGGTTCGCCCCATCGCAGGACAGGCAAGTCAGGAATCGTATGTGAGAGCTGGAAGTTGAGCTTCATGGCGGTATTTAGGCCATTACCCCTGTCACGTGTGTCCACCCGTTCGTCCATTGGGTTTTAAACGACGATAGAGGAGTAACAGCCGTCTACCTGTTTGTTTAGGCTGTGTCGTACTCCGCATCTCGTGATCTCGATGAACTTAGCTCGCAAACTCCGCAAATGGAGGAAACGAAACCTTTCCAGATGGATGAGAGCTCTGCCGACGACGATGCGCTGTCAGCCACTTCCGCCTCTCTAGTCTAAGACAAAGAGTGCTAGAAGATCAAGCCACAGATGCTTGTGCCGCTAGAGGAAAAAAGATACTACGCCTTCTTGCGCACACTATTTTCCCTGGCTGGATGATTGTCACCGTGGATGACAGGTCATGCAAACCTGACACAAAACTCCACTATTTGATTGTCCATCCTTGCGCAATGTTTCAGTTCCTTGTGAAAAGGATAGAGATCAATATTTGAGTGATGTGTTCTTTCAAATGCGCTTCTATCGTGCCCACAAAAAGGGACGATACAACCCAGCAAAGCGCTCTAGTCCTGACTCACTAGCCGAGGCCTGGGAGTTGTTTGCAGTGAAGATTAGGCGAAAGCCTGAACAATGGCTTCGCAAGCTTCGCAAACGTGAAGCCGATATTCTGGAGTACAATATTGAAGGATCCAAGATGGAGATTCACCTACAATCGATGAGCGAGGACGTGCGACAGAATATAATACGATAAAAGAACCCAAGAGACTCAAGTGGTCCTCAATTGAATTTGCACCCAGAACCTGTAAGCCTCGGCATAGCACACACAACGCTGGCGGACACTTGTCACCTTGGCCCGGACACCCGTCACGCTTGGCAACGGACACGTACACCCTGTGTTTAAGAGGCTCAAGCTGCTTATCTTTGTATACATGCTACAACGCGCGAGGTCACTCTAAGTTACCAAAACCCGTCGAGAAATTGGTTTTAGAAACGCTAATATTACGTACTAGATCCGATTTAGGTAGGCAGCCAACTCGGTCACATCGTTTTGTATCGC